TGGTGGTGGTGGTGGTGGTGGGTGGTTGGTGGTGGTGGTGGTGGTGGTGGGTGGTTGGTGGTGGGTGGTGGTGTTGTCGTTGAAGTCCGTGTTGTCGTCGTTGTCGTTGTCGTCGGCAACGGCTACCACAAAGACCGGAGGGGGTTGCGGACCCGCAGGACAAGGGGACCAGAGACCGGCGGACCAGGGGACCAGGACCAGAGGACCAGAGGACCAGGGGCCCCTTACAGCATGAACCCTTAACACAGTAACACAAAACTGAATACATCTTAATAACCAGCGACACCCTAGACCCTAAAGCCTAAACACCCTGAAGGCCCTCACCAAAGCCTTTAAACCCTCTAGGCCGAAGCTTCTGAAGCCCGAAACATCCCGTGCAACCCTTCGAATCCCCAAGTTCCCCCCCCAACACTTCTAAACCCTAAACCCCTAAACCCCTAAACCCTAAACCCCTAAACCCTAAACCCCTAAACCCCTAAACCCTAAACCCCCAACACTTCTTGGTGAATCGCAGCTCCTCGTCCCTGACCCCGATCCGAGGTCCCAGGGGACAGGCCAGCGGACATGAAGCGGAGACCTGGTGATGCCCACAAAAGACTTCAGGACTTTTGGAATTTAGGGTTTAGGGTTTAGGCCTTTGCTTTGCGGCCTGAATCTTCGGATCTCTTGGGCCCTTTAGGACGTTTGGGCCTGCGGGATTGGGACTCAGGACTCAGGCTTTGGTCTTGACGCCTCCTTGCAGGGTTTCGGACCCAGCCTTGCGTGACCTTAGTTCAGGGTGTAGCATTCACAGGCTTAGGGCTTTAGGGTGGATTCAGCGCTGGGGATGTCAGGATATTTGAGTTCGGGGGGCTTGGGGTTTTGTCAGAGTGGCGTCATGCCGGGTTTTCTGCGGGTGAGAAAACTGCAGTCCTTCCTGACGAGGCTCCCTAAATATCGAATATATTGATTGCAACCGAAACGGAAGCCAAACCTGTCAAGTCAATCATAGGCTGCGGGCACAGCCGCTACAGAGTTCCCAAGCAAATGCGTATTTAGCTGCGTATGGTTCTGGCATTTTCGTGCAGGCACACACAAGCTCAAAACACCAGGAACTTAACAACCCATCCAAGGCTATGTGAGGCGCACCATGTCGCAGCCTTGAACAGACCGGAGTATGATAAAAACATGCGCGCCCAATCCTGAATCTAGGCTGAAACCGGAAATCAGAGCCCTCGACTCAAACAACCGCCTTCACCCCAAATGCCTCAACCTTACAAAACCTCGAAAACGAAAAAGAACTCCAAAACCTGCCCAAGCCAACTGAGCCAGAACACTCTTGATCTTCTTAAACTGCCAGTATGTTCATCCAGCCTCGTCGGACTGAGCCATGCGCCTCGAACGGGGGGGAGGGGAGGGAAAAGGTGCTTCGGCCTTGCTACGTATGCTTTGCTCATGTAATGTAGTGGGATCTGAGGATTCAGGGTGTACTGCTTGGGCTTGGGCTCGGGATTGTGGGCGATGCCTTGTGTCCCAACTTCTTGCTGTGAGGTTGATGCTGAATATCCCATGATCTCTGGCAAGAACCTGTGGGGGTTGGCGCTCAAAATTAAGAAAAACCGATCCTGACTACAACTGATTTGATAGCTTCGGGGCTTGCTTGGGACCACTTCGAATCAGACACGCGGTTTAGGGTTTCACCGGTATGCGAGGTGGGCAGTACCCCAGGTCCAAACTCGCCCATTGACTCCTACCCTATGCGGCATCTTGCAGACAAGGATCCTTGCCATTCCGAACTGGGGCCTTGCAAACGTATGGGGCCTTGTGGCTACCCCGGCAGCCGCATAATGCCATAAAGCCTCCAACCAGCTACAAACTTGTCCACCTTAAACCCAACGTGAAACCGAAACCCGCGCGCCTGGACAGCAAGCCTGGTCAACAAGACCATCGGCTCTTCCCTCAACTTCGGAGCGCACGGCTGAAAACAAGAGCGGTGCGCGACCTATTGTTGAAGCCAAAACTTTGCGACATGAGACTCACAAGAAGCGTGCGGATTTGCCATAAGCATCGGACCGTTGCAAAAAACGATGGATCTTGCACGCAAGCCGCTTGGGGTTGGCGGTTGAAGGGTCCGGGGGTTAACTTGGGTAGAACATGTTAAGCATGGACACTGTTTAAGTCAGCAGAGCAAAAGCACATAATTAGTTAGAACCGTAAACCCTAAGGCAAACAAGTCAAACAAGTCAATGCTGCCCACCGAGACTGAACTCCGGTACCTCGGCGTCAGACGCGATGAGCTCCACGTAGCTGCACTTGTCCTGCTGCGACGGGCATCGGGGGAATGTCTCAAACGTGGCGCAGGCGAGACCTCCTGAGTTAAACCCCATGGTGAACGCAGCAGCCGTTGTCTCGGGCTACGGAACCGGGACCTCAATTGCGGCAAGGTGCAAACTGTGCTGTGTAGGTAGAAACTCAAATTGTCTTTTCCACACATTTCGGCACGGGGATCCCAGATGGAATAGCAACGTTACACGTGAAGAACTGTTAGGTGGGAGGGCTTTGGATTTAGTCGAAAGCTTGGGTTTGATGGGGTTCAGGGTCCTCGGGCATTCCAGGCTTTTTCTCACAAGGTTGTTGAAAAAAAAAAGCTTGGATCTACAGAACAACTCTCCTCTCTCGCCGAACCAAGCCTGGACCCGTGGCGCTTCAAAGAAGGCCAGGACGTTAAAGAGTCTGCTGTGCTACTGAGTGCAACGGAGGCCGTCAGACGACCCGGGACCCGAGTGATGTGAACACGGCGGTCCTCTGCAGTGGATGGGCAGATCACCCAGTCCTAGGCCCAAGTCACTACCAGTAGGAAGGTGCTTGATGTAGGGGCCGTAATACTTAGAATATGTTAGAATCCAGTTTTGGGGTCCATTATACTAAAAGTGTCATAAGGAAGCCCCCAAAATAGTATAGGTAATTATTTCGGCCCCGACATTATGTGGAGCATCGACGTTGGAGTGGCAAGCTCCGGGCCGGCTTCAGTGCCACACGTATGAGCTGGGATGTTTGGGCTGAGCATCTCCGGAAGGCCTCTGGCAGTCGGCAAAGCCTGAAACCACGTGGCTCCAAGCAACTTCTATGAGTCTATTGAAGCTTTAAGATTTTGGGTTTTCTGACTCTACTAAAGAGGGCAGAACACAGCAAACCTTCCATTTGGTTCACCCGCACTCTGAGAAAGGGAGGAGCCCCTTCCCCAAGCCAGGGCTCAGCGAGGTGGTAAAGGTTCAAGTCCTCAACGAGGCGCGGAGGACGTCGGAAAGGGCTCAGGTGCCACGGGCATGTGGGGAGCTTTGACGATGTTCCCGTGTCAGATGTCGGATGACGTAGGCTCGGTAGACATAGTAGCTATACTGATGCGGGCCTGGGGTTTATAGTTATAGGGGTTTAAGGCTTGATTCTTGGGCATCATTTCTTGCGTTGTAGGGTTTAAGGCTTCGAGGTTTGGGCTTCAGGTTTTGGAGCCAGTTGGCATCCTATGGGTCAAGAATGAGTCTTGCTGGATTTCCCTTTGTTATTCTACACTACTGGCATGAGGATAATGATCGTCCAGCTGTCTGACCCCTGTTTCAGGCCCATTCGGAATCTTCGAGCTGGCCCCTTAAGAGCGAAGATGCTTGGCTTAGTATTAGCCAAAAGTTCCCACGCAGGCCAACAGGATCTTGTACCATCCTGTACGACGAAACGGGTCACGGTGCTCCGGGTAAGGCGCCACTAGAACACGAGCAAGCGTTGAAGGCTTTCAGATGATCCCCTTGTCCCCAGACAAGCGGGTAAACCGGGTAGATCCCAAATTGTGATGTCCTAAGGCCAGGTTTGGATATTTTTTTGGGGTTTTGGGTTTAGGGCCCTACAGAAAACCGACGAATTCCCTTTGCATCCGGACTTGGGAGGTCGGCAGCAAACAGCAGCAGTAGGCCAAGCCGAGATGTTCGCGGCTCCAGATGTTGTACTCTGCGACTAGGGGGCCATACAGTAGCCTATAGAATCCTGCTCCTCGAAGTGCTCTGCCAGCACTCCTTTGCCTGAGGCTCGAAACCTTGCAACCCACACTGACCGAAGAGCGACTACCTGACCCTGCCGCCCGCAACCAATATTGACGGTGAAGCCTTCCGTAGCTGCAAAAACCAACCTTCTCCATCATCAGAAACTCAAAACAACGATGAACAGGAGCTATAATAATCGTAGCATTCACGGCCTTCAGGAAAATCCTCGAGCCCCAGCGGTCGTGCCAGGGAACCAGGCCAGACGGACAGGACCTGGCGAAGGACTTGTTGTGGGTGTTAAGTTTTCGGATTTCCGGTTTCGCTCGGGTTTAGGGTGCCCTTAGCGGCAGCGGTCGTGGCTGGTATTCAGCCTCTGGTTTCAGTAGCATACCCGGATTCTCGAAGGCCAAAGAGACCCGGCCGAGCTTGGCAAAAGGCAATCTTGGGGTCAGAGTGAAACCGACAAGTCTTTGTGAAGAGTTCGGCCCTGTGCTCTCCTTTCAGGGTTCCTATAAGGGTGCCTTCAGGGTAGTGCTCTAAATTAGGGTCCCGTTTAGGGTTCTCTTAAAGGGATCTTTTCGGGGTTCTATAAGGGTACCATGAGGGTAGTTCTCTTAACTTACACCGTTCAATGAACCTTTAAAGTTTTGTTTTAAGTATGGTCGTTTAAACCAAACTTTTTGCGCCGTTGGCCTTAGTCATTACAGCTGTTAGGTTCAGGATGACTCAATCTACATTGGTGAGAAGCCGGTGCTACATCCTGTAGGCGACAGGAACGTGCAATGGACATCCACGGGGATATGGGCCACATGGACGTTGGCCTACGTCGGGCACCTCGAAATCCTCGAAAGCAAGCTGGATTCAACACACCCTGAACATAGAAAACATCACCCTAAAGCCGTGTAGCAAGAAGTTAGCTGTGTTGCCAACAGGTGCCCAGAACAGGATGTATGCTTGTGCAGCACTAGAGCTTCATTTAGAATCGCGAGTCAACCCTGATTTCCGGAAGCCCGAGTCTTAAACTGGAGAAGATGTCGCACCTCTCCGCCAAAAATCGAATCAATGCCTCCAGTTGGTTCCTGGGATTGCCCAAAGAGGGATGCGAATGGCCGTTGATTGCGAGTGTTTTGAAAAGTTTGCAGGTTTTGATCGAGGCCTTCTGGGTGCTCTGAGGCGTTGTTGGGTCTGGGTCTGGGACCTGCTTTGTTGGACTGCGCTTTGAAGCCTGTAAGCCTTCACGAAGCATATGGTGCCTTCGCGAGGACAAACCTTTGCGGTCACTGGCGCATTGTGGATGAAGGAACGGAAACAACAACAACAACGCACACACAAGCGTACAGTGCTGAAGCACTACAGTAGGTGGCTGGGCCCGGATGAAAGCATGGGTCGGCTATGCCGGAAGCCTCGCATCATGTTTGTGGCAACTCGTTCCCTTCCCTGACTCAACGTCAGGGGAGTCTTGGCATGCAGGGATAATAAACATCGTAGTCGACTTGCGCAACCCCTCCATGCAACAACCTGTCCAACAATTGGAATCTCTGAGGCCTTCGTTTGCGTGGATCTGACAGGATCCTTTGCGACTCATGGGCGTCGGAGTCTGAAAGCGGGGACTGTGCAGCTTTTCCGGTCTTCCATGGTCCAAGAGTGCACTCAAAACAAAGAGATCAGGACACAACTTCTCTTGGGGCTGGAGTTTTACCGACCCCCGAAGCGCAACGGCAACACACCCCGTCTCCATGAAGTGACACTGAGGCAACACAAAAAAACGCGATTCTTTGGTCTCTGCTGCTCGAGATTTGTACGAAAACCTCAACGCATAAGCTCAGCAGCCTTTGCCGTAGTCCTGTCTATGACGACGAAAAACTGCATCTACCTTGGACCTTGCGGATAACTCTTCAGCTATACCCATGAACCCACGCAAACTGTATCGTTTTCAAGCCCAACTTTCTGCAGATTCTACCCAGGCACAGCTGAATGCCTCGCTGCTCCGTGGCCGGAAGACGTAGGGGGGAAAGCTTCACCAGCTGCGCGAAGCCTGAGCCCATCGCATTGGAAAGGTGTGGGGATTCAACGCATTTCAGGGTGCTTTAGGCTCTCGTTTGCAGGGCTTCGAAGATCGAGTCATGGGGACCGGAGGATACACTTGGAAGTTGGCCGCCATTCAAAGCCCGGGGTGCCAGGGATCGCATGGTCGGTCCTGCATACGTTCGGTCTCGGCATCCGTTTGGAATTCGCGAAGTTTGCGTTGCATTAACCCCTGCTTCGATGGTACATGCACGACATGCATGCATACTCAAACGGATCGGCGGATAGGTAGGTCAGGTAGGTAAGCAGGTAGGGAGACAGGTCTGATGCTCTTGTGCGCAACTCTCACCTTCAACATTATGCGCTTTCATCCTTTAGCCCGACGGAGCACACCTTAAGACTCCATGCGCGCATGCCCACGTGGGCAAAGCCCAAAAGAAGCCATCCGACCCGTCACAAGAAGCGAGAGGCAGCAGGTTTTTCAGCCCCAACCCCCGAAGCCAAGCCAAACCCTATTTCTGCTTGTGCTGGGAGGCTGGTGAGATGCAGCGGGGAGCCATCCAACTCTCCTCTGCTGTAAGGGGCCGTCGATTACAGGGTTACGGCTCAGTGCTTTGCTTCTTTGCAGCTTTTCGGGGACCCTACTGCCAAGGCCTCCGAAGGCCATCGCTGTATTGCTGCACACAGATTTCTCGAATCTTGCCAGGTCGCGCATTAGCATTCCTCGTCTTCTTATCATCATGACTCTTAGTTAGTAGTACGACTTATGTCGTTTCCTGTCTGTTCACTATTCTATACTGCCCACGATACTGATGTCTATAGCTGATAATAGTAACAGTAACAAAAATAGGAGCAAGATAATAACGATACTCACCATAAAAGCAACAACAGTAGCAATAAGGAGAGTAGTAGTCTGAACAAGAAGAATAACACTAACCAAAATGATAAGACAACCACAACAAGAACAATAACTATAACCAACAAACAACAAAAACGTAATATTAACAGCAAAAAAATTAACAATGATATCAAACGGCACAAACATGAGAATAACAGAAGCAATACGAATAACAGTAACCAGCAAACAACAACCCTTAACATCAACAGTCGTTATTGCTTGGAGCTCAGCTCTTCAGCCGAAGCGTGCATGCTCTGCTGCCCTAGTCAAGAGCTTATAGCATACTTTATCATAGGGAGCCCCAAGGGGTGTTTGATATTTCGTACATCCCTCTCAGCACCGGAGGCCTCCCGGTGTTGCAAACCCAAAGCGCCTTGGGCTTTCGGGCGGCTCAAGCCCGAACTGCCAAGGCTCCCAGGGTCTGGGAAGGCCCCAAGGCAGCGCCACTGAAAGTGAGGAGTTGCCTGGGTTGCCAACTGCCGATAAACAGGCTGTTTGAAGCTGAGGGCTTTTGGAGCTAAGGTTGTATGTAGGCTGACACTGAGGCAAAATAAAACGTCCGTTGGAGGGTAGGAACACGGTCTCGCTGTACTCGGGCCTTCTGCGAAACAGTGTGGGCAGCATGGCCATAACGGCATTGGATTGCGGTGTTAGGCGTGTAGCTTTGTGTTGAGCTGTTTCAGCTATGCAGCAGTGTGTTGCAAAACCACGTGCAACGGTCGAGTTCATCACCCTGCACAGTTTCGGGCGAAAGCTCGCCTTCATTCCGCAGCTACTCGGAGCATTGCACCCATGGTCTAGCCATGCCTGCTGGTGTATTGGTGTCGGGTTACGGGCTCAAGGGTGCGGGCATCTGGGGAACACTCATGGGCAAGACTGCTCGTCTTGCGATTGATTTTTAACTAGGAGTCTCAGGGTATGATTCCTGATTGTGCTGAAGCTGAACCCGAAGCTTGGGATCCTGCATATTAATATGTATTTCTGCTTTCTTGCTAGTGGTGTCTCTGCCCACTCCCTGCTGAACGTCCTTGCCTCAACAAGTCCTGGGCCATGTGCTCCCCAAGCTTTCGAGACCTCGATGTGCCCGAGCTGCTGTTTAACAGGAACCCCGCATCGCCGCTGAAGCTCCTCTTGCCTTCGTGTCGACACATGTTGGTTATGTGCAGGACAAAGTGGAGGTTGTTGCACGTAAACCCGTCTTGATGGAGTTGATGGGGCTGAAAGGGGAATATGAGTGTAGAGGTCTGAATATTAATTGGTGCAATTACAACTCGACGACCTCATGTCATACTACAGGATACTCCAAGACCCTGTTCGAAGCAGTGCGGCCGCTACGTTGGAAGGACTTATGTCACGCTTTATGCTGAGGGTTTTGGGAGTTGTGGGGTTCGGTGTCAAATAACACCTCGCTTAAAAGTGCTCCAGGATTGCTTTGCTTCTCGCACGGCAGGACAAGTTGCGCCAGGACGGTTCAATCAAGGTTACTGGCCGCGCTGAATATTCTCAACTCCTTGCAGGATCCCAAACCTGGCTTCAATTTTGGCTGGGAAACCCTCGGGCAAACTGGCTCTTGCACGTAACTTTGGGAGTGTATAGGCTTTGTTTCGAGGCTCAACATTGCTTTGGCCAAAGCTGCACATCGCGGATGTTGCAGCTTGGGCTCAGCTCTTGAAGCGTCCTCGGCTCGAGCCGGACCGGGAGCCCTGAACCTTAACGCCCGTTTTGCCGCCGGCATTGCTGAACGAGTCGCTTTGCCCTGGGCCCTAGTCCAGAGGCATCCGAAAGTTAAAGCCGATACCTTGTTGAGCCATGTCCATACACTCACAAAAAAAGGTCGCAGACCCACCCAAGCTCTGGTCGCCCACCAAACCGCTTGGATTCCGACTTGAGACCTTTTGGAACAAACCCCTGCGTATGGATTGACAGTGCTGAATCATAGAAGCCAAGCGTCAGCCCCCCTGCATCGCCGTCTACAGTCAGCTCCATCCACAGCGGCAGGAACTCTGTTTCATAAACCTAAGGCAGAAAAGACCGAAACCTAAGAACAAGGCACAAGCTGCACCTCAGGGTGCAAGGATGTAGTGATTTCGGACCCTGAGTTTCAGGGTTATCCGGTTGGGAAGCTTGGGAGCACCGAGCTGGCGTGGCTTGGATATGAAGTCAACGAGTCTGTTGCACACACACACACACACCTTCTAAAGAAGTGCGCCGCTCCAGTGAGCTCCACTCCCTTATGTGCCCTAACCTCAGCGATGTGAGCCAAGACGAGCGGAGTCGGCAATTGCCATTTGGGACAGCAGGTTTCTGGTACTGTTGCGGTGGTTTGCATATGCTTGCATTAGGATTCGGACTTCAAGCAACGTCCCTGGATTGTACACCTGGAGGCTCTGAGATGCGAACTTGTCCCGGCAGTCAAGCAATTTTGATTTTTTCAGATCGCAAACTGTCGCCAGCCGGACGGCAGCAGCTGGGAAGCGTAAAAACCTTGGACTCGGTTGAAGTCTATGTGTAAAACCTCCAGGTTCTGCGTCTGGGAGATTCTGGGAGGCTTATTGTGGGCTTTAGAAGCTTCGGGGTTTCAGGCCTTATGGTACAGGAGAGGAGGATATGATGAGAGGAGTGTCGAGGCATGAGGGCTCATTCTTCGGCACCTACTTGGCCTCTTTGCTGCGTGACGTCTCTCTCCGGTACCCAAAGACTTCGGAAAAGGCCTAGAATCATTTGTTACATTATAACAACGCATATCTGTGATTAGGGTACCTGCTGACTTGGAGAGCCCAGCTCTTCTGCTCAAACTCTTCTCGAAACCCAGAAGACCCTGCACATGGCGCACCACCCACGAAACCCAAGCGATCGTCTAATCCTCGCTGTGCCCTACGCAGAAAAGGCAAAGCCGATAACGGACCCCATGTTGCAAGGCAGCATCACTTCGGAACCTCTGAACCCTTGCGCAACATCCGTCGGCCCCGAAAGGGCGCTTTTTGCGTGCGGAAAGAAAGCGGGCAAAGCAGGGATCGCGGCTTGCCTGAGAGGCAGATTAAAACGGTTGGGTCCCAACCAGACCCGCCTGCATTCGGTGCCAAAGAAGTCCCAAGACTTCAAGGTTTCAGCTCAAAATTGTGAGACTGGGGCGTCGAAATTCCTTCACGCAGGCCAACGCGAAGGAGAGGACTAAAGAAGGTTTCAGCTGATGAAGACAATGCACCGGTGCATGCTGACTACTCAGAAGTCCACGTACTCGGAGACTGCCAACATCAAGCTCAATTGACTAGTCCATTACGGAACTGTGAGCACCCCCTCGTCGACTTCGTCGAGCCCGCGTCTGGAAGAGGAACTGCTCGCGAGACCCCGTGCCTGAAGCTGAAGCTGAGCCAATTTAGCGGAGCCCCCTCGTCGCTTCACAGCTTCGAAGAAAACACAACATCCCCTTGGCAACTTGCCGTGAGACCTTGACAACGAATCTAGGTGCTTCCAAACGACAGGTTGGACAGAAGTGCCCTCCCATCAATGTTTTGTGTAGGTGTTCTTCTTTTGGCTGGAAGCCGTCCCTCACAACTTATGCGCCCCAGAACCTGTCGAAACTCCGAACCCGAAACCTCCTGGAAAACCAAACCTCCCGGACACGCCAAGCCCCAGTTGAAGTAGAGGCAACTCAGAAGCTCTGCAAAAAAGGCATGGCTTTGGTCTTATGACGGATGTCCCGCTAAAAACGCACACGATTGACAGGGGCCCTACTACTTAGAGTAGGCCTTGAGGATTATGATAATACCAACATAATATATAACAGGGAACCCTAAAACACCTGTATTTCTATCTGTTGACGCACGTAGATTGCGACGACCCTAAAGTCACCGGTGCCTTCCTCCAGCTCGCCCAAGCGAAGCCACAGCTTGCCTCTGATCGGCTGGCATTCAGGGCTTTTGTTGGTGGGGAGGTATAGGGTTTGAATATCCCCTTGTCCTACCAATACATAACCTATTGCCCCTATATTTTTGTCCCCCACTTGCCCCTGTATTAGGAGGGCAGGTGAGTTCAAGGTTTTTTCTTGCTATTCGGTGTTGGCGGGGCTCAGGGGGGTTTGTAGACTTTCTATCTTTGCCTCCCGCATCGCCACGGGAGACCCGCATAACCAGGAGGTAATTAGATGGGGTTTCGGGTTAAGGGTTCCTGAAGGATTCTGTGTTCAACGCCTGTTCGTCGGTATTTGGGGCAACAGGAGTTTTGGGCGTGTGGGGCTTCCAGGGCTTGGAGCCTGGGCGCATCTCCGCTTCTTTTGGCTTTCGGGCTCAGGTCCAGGGCGGGCCTTTAAAAGCCCGACTAGGGTTTTTCTGGGGCTATCATATTATAAGCATGACAAGGAGCCCGCAAGCCGAATTGTGCCTTTGCATGTACATCTCTAAGAGGACTTGCTCACTGAATAGCCTCTTGCAGCCCTTGTAAAGCCCTGTCGGCATGAGCGGGGCTGCTTTCGGGTCCATAAACTGTGAAAGTCGGGCTTTGGTCGGACCTTCAAGTAGCAAAGGTCGTCACGAATAAAGTGTGACTCTTTTTAGGGTGGGTCGGCTTCATCGGGAAGGTTTGGGGTCCAGGGACTCGAAAGTAAGAAAAACAAGAAGGCCCACAGGACTCTGGAACCTCCCGCACTCCTGTCATTACCTTGCTTGCCACCCCGAAAACGGATGTCTTTAGATGCTAGTAGATTGTCTTGGCAGATCGAATGCAGAGCAGTGGCCTTTGCGGGGTGGCTTTGAGAGATCAAGTCTGGTGACCGGGGATGCTGCAGCTATTGAGGAGAAGAACACCGAGCGCACTCGACATGTCGACGTGAAACCTGGAGTGCCGAAAGACCAACCTCGCCAAACGGCTCCCACCGTCTAGTGGGATAGACACGCCTAAACACCTCTGAGCCAAGTTGCCACCTCCACGATGTGGCAATAGCCTTGGGGGCACCCAACTTGGGTCTCAACAAAAAACTCGCAATGCTTTGGACAACCCGGTGTTCCTTTGAACCCTCAACCCCCAAGCCTAATCCCTACACCCTCAACCTTAAACCCTCACAACCCTCAAGCCTAAACTCTTAACCATCAACCCTAAACCCTCAGTGAAGAAACCAGTTCCCACCCTAAACCCTCGAAAGGCCTCGAGGCGAAGTCGAAAGCCTTGTATTTCACCTACTGTAGGTGTCTTAATGCTTGGACTAAGTTTCCTTGAAGGGGCTACTAGAACGGTTATTGTATGGGGTTCTATAGGGGTTTAGTGTAGGGGCCCTCAATAGTTAGAAAACGGCTTTGGGCTCCTTTATCATGTAGTGATAACCAGGAACTCTAAGGAGCACTGTTGGTAACTACTTTGTTAGTTTTCTGAAATACCCTCACTGTTTGAGTACTATCTTTCTCGATACCTCTGCCTTTTAGAGGTGCTGTTCTGTTCGGGGCCGTCAGTACTTCTGTAATCCTTGTTGTTATGAGCTCTGCATGCCATAGCTTCTGCAACCTACAGAGTCAACGAAAAACGGGTGATTGAGGCAGAAGTAAACGGCTCGGGAGAGCTGTTGCAAATCTTGCTCTTCCGGGCACATTGCCCGAAGTTTGGCTAAGGGCCCAAGGCGGCCCAGGCGCTCCGCCAGGTGAGCTATGTTGTACTTCTTGGAGCTCTGATCGATCATCCGACACCTCGCTCGCGGCGGCTTCTTGGCGTGCAGACGCACAAGTCTACCGGGTCAATAGAACGGCAGTGATACACCCACAAACGAGAGCTGCTCGTCCCGGTAACCTTAAGGGCATGCTCCAGACTTCCGGCTCCTACCAGACCAAGTCGAGAGGGCGCGCCCCAAACCCTCACGCCGCCTATGCGAGTTCACAGATGTTGATCCCTGCCACAAGCAACTGGCCCCCTCCCAAAACCCTACAACTACTTGGGTATCTCAAGATGGCCCAGTCCGTCAAGTGATCTTCTACTTATAGCTCCTCTTGAGGCAATGTTGCGCATGGAAGCCATCCCTTATAAGATGGTGTAGGAGCCTCCGGATTCGCAGTTTCCCATCACTACAGGGTGTATAGGAGCTTGCAGAGGGGAGGCAAGGCTGCCTCAGTCCCAAAGCCGGTATCCCTCCCTCACCTCATCGGCGGCAGTTGGGAGGACTGCGTCACAGAACCCTCCTCGAGAGTGACGGGGGACGGGGGGCTTTGAAGTGTAAAGCTTCCTCAGCCTCTGATGGGGGTGCGGCTTATTCAAGATACAGTGACGCATATGTCACCGATTATCCAAATGCCGAGCATGCCCAGAATGGCAGACTTCGTTCTGTTCTGACGATAAGGCGGCACTCTGATAAGGACACTAGGAGACTGCTCGGAGTTCGGCGTCGTCGGCCCTCGCAGCTCCCTTTCAAGCCATCGCTCACATTTCGGCCCACTTGTTTCCATGATCAGAAAAGCAATCATGGACGTTAGCTTTTCCTAAACCCCTGAACTCTCCGGAGTGACTGGATGCCGCACGATACACTACTCCTCGCATCAAGTCGGCTTTCGATCTTTAACTTAAGAATCCTGGAGAAGGGACTTCTCATCTCAGCAATCCCGCTACAGTGCTGAAGCCGAGACCGGTGTCAGCATCACATGAGACGCTCGGTTCCATCCTCCTGGCTTTCCATGAACTGCAGGACCGCAGCATGGACGCTGGCCTCGGTGCACTGGTGGCTTTGGAGGCTCCTTCAAGACCTCTAATTAAAGCGCATCTCTTTGAGAGAGGGTCTGCTAAGATCCTCAAGGAAGAGATCTCGTAACGAAGGCCTCCAGCCTCTCTCGCTTGTCGACTTCGTGATACTTTTGTATAAAACTACTTTGATGGTCATTGTTACTATTATTATTAGTATTGTCAGTTTCGGTTTTTCGGTGTTAATTACCATTAGAACGCTCTCGCAACTCGGACTCTGCCAGACGAGGTCTCTGTGTCCAACT